TTAGATCATGTCTGTTGTCCCAAAACTTAAAAATTAGAATTTACAAAATCATTATCCCATCAACGGTTCTTTATGGATACGAAACGTGACCGCTTACATTAAGGGATGAGCAACGTCTTAAGGTTTTGGAAAATGAAGTATTGCGTGGAATATTCGTGATAGACCGAAGCGAAGATAGAAAGATTTCGTTAAGGCTGATCTGGAGTGGCTGGATTTGCACGGCGACTTGTGGGGGGAGGTGTGTAGGCAGCGATTGGAAATGTGGGCATCGAACATTCGCGTTCGCTAAGCCTTTTATTATTATGTATTATTATTGTTATCCTAGGTGTCCCAGAAACGCCCAGAACTATTCCCCCTTCGTTTACTTTTTGAAGTGAAAACTTCCGATATGTAACGCTCGGGTAAAGTCGGATGCGGTGAATTAATTGAAGTGTTTTGGCATATGGATTAAAATATCTCAAAAATTGGACTTGCATATCGTAAGCTAGAAAAATTTTCATCATTTCAGTCTCTTTGTAATGAATCATTATTAAAAATTGTAACGTGGCGTCGTGTTAGAGAGCCAAAAAGGAAAAAAAAATGTCGGAAACCAAATTATAACGATTTTTATTGAAGATATGGATTAAAATATCTTAGAAACTATAAATCGGACCTGCATACTGTAAGCGAAGAAAATGTTCAGTATTTAATCCTCTTTGTAACGAGCTATTACTTTATAATTTATATTCAATATTATTATACCTTAGTTTTTTAATAGATTTTAGTTAATCGTAGACTATAATAAATGGCAGTATTTTTTTTTTAAATCTAAACAAAACAAAAGTACCTTATGGAAAACAGAAAATCATGGGCATCTAGGAGTCTTTCAGAATAAATTACGTTTTATCTTGAAAACGGTACGGTTTTGAAGCTTTAAAAGTCAGGGCTAGGGTAGAAATCATTAAAACGCTATTTGTCTCATCTCGATCCATCGATTTACTGACGTCGGATTTTGAAACGTTCTGCTTTTTGAATGACTTATTAAAGTTGAAATATTCGTTAAATTAAAATTCATCCCTTCTGAGAGCCGTAAATGGGATGTTTATTACCGCAATAAACATAGAGTAAATAAATATAGTAAATTAAGAACAAATTATGAATAAGAATCACTAACAAAATAACCATTCATTTATGTTATATTCGGTACACGGCTAGTCTAATGGACAAAATTAATCATAACATCACCAGGTGGTAGTCTACCAAATCGAACAAGGTCTAACAGTGACATATCGCTATCCGAATTTGTACAATATAAACATGACATGAACAGTATTCTATAGCGAACAGTTATGGTTTAAAGTGATTATTAAATCAGTAAATTAATTCGAATTAATAATTAACTTATTGAACATAAATCAATGAAATTTTTCGTATGTTAATCAAAACATTATATATCGATTATACTGATTATTAACAATGATAATACATTATAGACCATTTGATGAATTTCAGTTAAGTGTCGTGAGGATCTGATAGAAGCATTTTTCAATTAGTGATTAATTACTTTATATATCAAATTGTATATACCTGTACCCCTAATGTAAACGATGTCCATTTTTTTATTAAATAATTTAGTCAATTTTAATAGCTCAAAGTTATGGAACATTGGCTTCCTACGTCGGGACAAAAGGATGGCCTGGGGCCCACACGTAAAAATGAAACGAAAGACCCCCAGTAGACGACTCAAACTACTTTACTCACTTACTTCTAAATCTTCAAAACTAGAACTGGAACAGAAACTAAATACATACTATACTTACTAACAAGGGACTGAAAATACTATACTCACGTTTTTCAAAATCAAAGTTGAAAATCAGACAAAACGAAATACATACACTTACCTGCTCACAACAACCTACTCAAACTTTTTGAACACACGCCTCACAGATTTACGGTTCACCAAAAAAGACTCACTTACAAAAACTACAATCTTTTCAATCTAAAATTTTTAAACTAAGAACTGCAGCCCTCTGGTATGTCTACACCAAAACTTTACAAACCGACCTAAGACAACCAACCATTGACCAGCACATACGTACTCTCTGGTCCCGATTTCATCTTAAGCTACAAGGACATCACAATAGACTAATAAACGACAAGGCCACGGCTGAAATGATCATCAGGAGGAGACTGAAAAGGAGCTGGATGAGAGATTTTCTTTCCTGATTGCAGGATGTAAACATTCCAGAGAATAGGTGCTGCTATGTACTATTCTTCGTCATATCTATCCTGCTATTTTCTACCTAACAACAAATCTGCTAATTATCACTACTATGACAGGTGCAGATGAAGATTTGAAAGCCATAATATATATATATATATATATATATATATATATATATATATATATATATATATATATATGTATAAATAAATGTTTACAATGACCTTTCAGTCTATATTAGAAACTGCGTTGTAACGTATGAATGTACTGCCGTTTATTCTGTCTTCTTTTTTTTTCTTGATATTTATTTACATTGTAAGAAATTTTTAGATCATTGCCTTTTTAATCTTCCTTGATGGTCATCAGTTAACAGAATAGAAATAAGAGAAGTTGTGTATATATTATGTATGTAGGATTTTACTGTTGGTATGCACATGTTATGTAAGATGTGGTTTGTAATAAAACAAGGAGCGTTTACGATATTTCAAAGGATTTTGAATTGTAGTTTGAATTTCGGTTTACGTGGTCTTGTTTTGCGGAACCCCTAAGTTCTGCTAGGTATGTCCAAATATATCAGTATAGTGGCGTAGATTAGTCTCTTGTGTCGTAAGTTTTTGATATCATATAAACAATATTTCTGTTTTTCCTTGTATATTGGCCTTAGGGACCCTAAATATTAACAAAATTAAGCTACTAGACGAACCATAAACTTATTTAAAGGGGAGAGAGAGGAAGCTGTAGAGAGAGCGAAGAGGATTCAACGAACTGAGGATTAATGCTCGCAATTTCGGCGGAAATAAAGAGGAGGGGTGGGGGGAGGGTCTCACTTTAAGGTCCATTGAATAAATGATCATTCTCACCGGCCGGGGTTTGTTCCAGCTTCCAAACTTTTTGTTTTCAAAACAAAAATATTAATAATATCGGCCATTGATTTGTACAAAGCCTACAAACACAAAACCCTGCTATGGGACGTTTTATGAATTAAATTAAATTAAGTAATTAGATAGATAATTAATTCTTTGGTGGCTCATTTGTTAATCTTCTTACTAACATTGATAAAAGAGATTGAAATTTTATAGATATGAGCACATGTGATATATGCTAATACTCAGTTCATATGCAAAGGCAAAAATATGTATGAAAATAAATTATTGCACTTAATGTATAATAATCAATAATCATAATACTTAGTATACTTACTTAATTAGTAAATGGTTGACTGTCGTGGATAATGAAGAGAAGAATAGTTGGGGTGGTCAGTCAAAAAATAAGGCAAAAATAAATGATAATATTTATTTTTGAAGGTAAAAATAAATATTATCGTTTATTTTTGCCTTCTTTTTTGACTGACCACCCCAACTATTCTTCTCTTTATTATACTTACTGTATATTAAGTAATAATCATAATACTTATTATACATTGATAATAAGTAATAATAATAATAGTACGTGGTAAATAACCGTTTTTTAAAATTTATAATCATCCCTTAAAAACTTCGTGAATGGCTTCGTCTTATCGTAAGCAACAACTTTTTTATTTTAAGATTTTAAAAAACCTTAAACACCATGGTTATATTCTAATCAGTTTAGTTTAAATTAATTCTCCAATCATATTTTATTATTTACATAATAGAAAGAAATAGGTAATATTATAAATGATCATAGCATTGATTTGTTAAAAATGAAGTTTATTAAAATATTATTTTTTTTTATCTTCAAATTTACATCCATACCTGTCATGAGCTTGACAATAAGCAGATGTGCTGTAACTAATAAGCAAAATATACATTTTAGGCATGAGGTAAAAAAAAAAAATAGTACCCAGCAGCATTTCTTCCTGGTCTTGATTTATTTCCTTAATTCAAGAAAGGAGATCTCTCATCCAGCTCATCTTTAGTCGTCTCCTGATAGGCATGTCAGCTGTGGCCATGTCGTTCATAAGTCCGTTGTCATGTCCGTGTAGTTTAAGATGAAATCTGGAGTAGAGATTTTGTATGTGTTGGTGGATAGTTGTTGTAGTAAGTCGTTATGTAAAGTTTTGTTGTTTACGTGCCAAGGATCTCCTGTTATAAGTCGCAAAATTTTGGATTGAAATGTCTGAAGTTTTTGTAAGTGTGTCTTTTTTACAGAACCGTATATTTGTGAGGCGTATGTTCATATGGATTTGAGTAGGTAAGTGTATGTATTGAGTTTTTTTCTGATTTTCAATTTTGATTTGGAAAAGAGTGACTACAGTATTGTCAGTCGCTTGTTTAAGGTCTGTCGTTTCATTTTGACGTGTGGGCCCCAGGTCATCCTTCTGTCGAATATTAGTTCCATGTTACGTACTGTGTTTGTCTGAGGAATTTGGTTCTCTCCTATATAAACTGATGGGCACGTTTCTCGCCGAAGTGTAAATATTATATGTTGTGACTTGTAATGATTTAATCTTATTTTCCAAAGTGTGTACCAATTTAGTAAAGTCAGTAAATGATTTTGTAAACTCAGTGAGGCTTGTCTGGGGTCGTGATTTTTTGTTAAAATTGTTATAACGTCAGCGTAAGTAGCAGTCAATGTTTCGGAGGTGGCAGGCATGTCATACGTATATAATGTAGAGTATAGGAGCGATTATTGATCCCTGAGGTACTCCTGCCGACACTGTTCCAATTGAGGAAATAATTAAATTATTTTTAAAATACTCACAAAGAGAAATGATCGAATTAAATAAACGAAGATATAAAATTAAAATAAAATATTTACATTTAATTTTGTATTTATACATATAATCAAATGACTATTTTGGTGATCTCTTGTCCAGTGCCTCCGAGGATCGTCGGCGGGGACAGCACCAAGGAACTGGTGGTGCGGGAGAGCACGGAGATGAGGCTGGAGTGCCACGCCGAGGGATACCCGGAGCCCTACGTCATGTGGCGAAGGGAGGATGGGAAGGACATGAACTACAATGGCGATATAGGTAAAGCTATATAAAGTAATATACTATAACGCTCATTTGTAGCGGAAATTTGTAATTTTTATTATACAACTAGGGTAAGCGTTCTCTCGTGCATTCGGAAGATTGATTGCTTAGGAAGTGGAAGAATAATTGTCGTTTAAATCTGATTAAGGAAGAGGATTTGTGTATGGAGGCGAGTAATGAATTTCAGAAAAAGGTAGCACGCACAAAAAAGGATTTTGTAAAGGACAAAGTTTACTTTTGGTATTAAAGTTTTTCCAATGTTAAAACCATTTAAAGATGCTTTTTGAAAGGATGAACTAAGTTTTATTTTTTCACCATTATTCAATTATACTATTGATACCCCACTTTCAGAAAATCTTTCTCGTTTAATAAGCTTTAAATTCATATTAATTAAGGTGAGGTTAATTAGGAAACAAGTATAGATTCATCCCTAGTTGTGTAAAAATACAAACATAGCTGATTTAGAGGGAAAACAAATAACTATTATTTTTTTAAGTACAGATCATAGCTTATTTTAGCCGCACAAAAAGCCTTCTGAAATGATTTTAACAATGATAAACTCTACTTTCATTCAAAGTACATTTTTGTTTATAGGTATGTATGTTTTCTTTTTTATTTATTTTTTTGTTATTTTATACTTATTTCTTGTATATATAGTATATATATATATATATATATATATAATATATATATATATATATATATATATATATTATTTTCTGTATAATTTATTTTTTTTATTGTACATAGAATGTGAATGTGATCTTTGAACACTATTATAAATGGCCTTTGAGACAGATTGTAATATTTTCAATAAACAAGCTAAAAAAAGTACATTTTATCTATTTTTTTTAAGTCTAATTACTTAAATTAAATTTTTTTTTAGTCATCGCTTCCTATTCTACAAAATACGACTTAAAAAAAAACTTAAATAAACTTGCAAGAAAACTTGAATATCCTACTTTTCTACCGAAAATCAGACCATTGTTTATAAAAACGTTTTTTATATATAGTTCTCGGTTCCTGCTAATATTCTTATAAATATTTATTTCTACTTACGGGACACCCTGTGTAACTTTACCAAAACGTCGCTGGTTTTTAAAAAAAAAATCTAATCAATTATGATTATTATTATTTTTTTTTTATGGCAACTTCGTCTGAATACTTCCTAATCGATAACTATCAAGAAATAGCATTATTATTTCTTATATATATATATATATATATATATATAATATATATATATATATATATATATATATATATATATATATATTATATATATATATATATATATATATATATATATATATATATATATAAGTTAAGCGTCGTCGGACTTCAGAAAATAAAAAAAAAGAAGGAAAGGGATAGAGATGCAACACTCACGGCTTCTGAATAAACACTGCTTTATTCGTTCAATAAGTCTCCTTATATACAGTCAGCATGTTTGTTTACATTGCCAGATGGTATTAAGGCTGATATCGCTAGTCTCCGGTCTTTATCTCCCCCCCCCACCAGTTTACGAACAGGATTTTCGGAAACTTAAATATTCCTAGATCGGAGCCAACGGTGACCAGCCTTAACACTTTACAATTGTTCTTACAGTATACCCTTAAAAGATACTAAAACTCACTTCCACTCAGCTGGAACGAGAAAAATAAAAAATAAAAAAAAACACAGAAACTAAACACAACACTTGCTTCCAAGAACAGAACTCTTAATAACCTAAACAAAAAATAATACAACTTCCTCTACAGTATTGCTATAATTCTATTTACAAAAAAAAAATTACACTATATTTATGTTTTGACAGCCAAAAAAAAACATATTTCTTATATACAGCGGTGAGGGTACTACGAATCCGTTGGTCTATGTTCCGGTTCTATCATTGGGAGCTTCAATTGTTCAATGTGAACAGTTCTCCTCTTTCTAGGTTCATTAACGCTTTCGATAGTTAGCAGATTATGCTCCCTAATAGCAACCACTCTGAATGGACCCTCGTACCGTAGCAATTGTTTCCCTCTGTTGGTTCCTAATCTACGGTACACTATTGTTCCGATCTTTAGTTCTCCCATTCGGTCGCGTACCTGCACATTCTGCCTCTCCACCCGCTTCTTCTTTTCCCGCTTAATTCTCGTCGTTACCTTTCCCCATGTCTTCTCTACCTCTACCCTATTGCTCTGAATTTGGTCTACTAACGGTTCGGTAATCGTTGTTTCCCCATAATCCCGCCTTGGCCTGCGCGTCCCAAATAGAACTTCTACGGGTGAAAATCCCGTTACGGAGTGGATAGAGTGGTTATAGGCTGTTACCGCCTTCCTCATCGCAACATCCGGCTCCAACCCTTTTTCTCCCTGATATACACGGATGTGGTCACTCAGCGTGCTGTGCAACCGTTCGATGCCGCCTCTACTTTTAGGATGTCCCGGGGTGTTATAATGCCACGCAATCTCCAATCGCTTCACCTCTTCCCTAATCGCGGTATTATCGAACTCCCTACCACCGTCTGATGTAATCCTCTCGGGGACTCCATAGAACTGCACCCATGTTTGTAGGGCTTCTGCCACTGCATTGGCTGATTTGTCCATGACCTGATGTGCCATCGCCACTTTGCTGAAAACATCGATTATAGTGACCCACTTGAACCCTTTCCAGGTGAAAGTATCGATCTGGAGGTCTTGTAGCGGCATATTCCCTGTAGGTGTCTCCTCCTGAATTCCTCTGGGGGGGGGGTGTCGATCGTATTTTGTGCGCATGCATATCTCACATTTCCCAATGATTTCCTAGATGGATTTCTTCATGCCCCACCAGAAATACTTTCACCGTAATGCCTGCAACGTCTCGTTCACGCCTCGGTGGTTGGTTTCCCCCTGGTGATATGCCAATGTGACTGCTTGCTGTTGCTCTTCGTCTTGTATCGTCTCCACCGCATATTTGCACCGGATGAATGTCCTGTCCACGCCTATTCGCTCGGATCTCCACATTCGCTTTATCTTATCCCATACTGTATTGTTTCCAACGTATAGATAGTGCGTTTTACCCGCTTCCGAGGCGTCCTTCAGTGCCGTACAGATTTGTTCTTCGCTTACCCCGGGTTGCGACCAAATGACGCGAATCCTACTCCTCCCATATTTTCTGAAATCTATTTTCATGATCCCGGCTGTTCGTGTCTTCCAGATCCCTGACGATGTTTGTCGTTAACGATCTCATCTATTTCGTCCATCTCCGCTGCCCTTTCCTCCGCTGAGCTCTCCTCTTCTGGGGACTCTCCCCTGTCCTCTATACCTGCGGTATCATTTGCCCCTTCGCCATCAGGAGTCCATTCACTCAAGAATTGACGCACGTCCCGCGATGGTCCTCCCCCGTCCTCTTCAACCGCGTTGATCATGATGGCCCTAGAGAGCCAGTCTGCCACCACGTTTTCCTTTCCGGGCTTATACACCACCTCTATATTGTATTGGCTAAGGACCTCCTTCCATCTCGTGACCCTAGCTGAGGTTTCCTTGAGTTTCCCTACCCACTGAAGGGATTTGTGGTCGGTGTGGACTCGAAACTTTCTACCGAATACGTATGGCCTGAAATGGTCGATAGCCCACACTATCGCGAGTAGCTCCCTCTCCAAAGCGCCGTACCTTGATTCCGCACCCGTAAGCCGACGGCTCGCGTATGCTATCGGACGTTCCCCCTCACTGCTTCCCTGAGACAAAACGGCCCCTAACGCATATTCGCTCGCGTCGGTTGTTATGTTGAATTGCTTTTCAAAATCCGGGAACGCCAATACAGTCTCTGCCTGCAACCTACTCATGCATTTCCGGATCTTGTTCTCCATTTCCGGTGTCACCACAATCTTCGCGCCTTTCTTCAGCAAATTGTTGATAGGTACCAAATACTCTGTCATCTCAGGCACGAATCTCCGGTAATAGTTAAGTGTCCCGAGAAGCCTCCGGATCCCTTTAACGTCCCGTGGTACCGCCATCCGTGTGATTGCCTCCACCTTTGCTGCATCCGGTCTGACCCCCTCGCTAGAGATAGTGTGGCCTAAAAAATTAATCCGCGTTTGCAGGACTTCGTCTGAATACTTCCTAATCGATAACTATCAAGAAATAGCATTATTATTTCTTATATATATATATATATATATATATATATATATATATATATATATATATATATATATATATATATATATATATATATATAAGTTAAGCGTCGTCGTACTTCAAAAATAAAATAAAAAAAAAAGAAGGAAAGGGATAGAGATGCAACACTCACGGCTTCTGAATAAACACTGGTTTATTCGTTCAATAAGTCTCCTTATATACAGTTAGCATGTTTGTTTACATTGCCAGATGGTATTAAGGCTGATATCGCTAGTCTCCGGTCTTTATCTTATATATATATATATATATATTTATAATCTTATTTTAATTCTCAGTGATTAAAATAATGTCCCTAAAATAGAATTTTATATAATTTTTAATTTAAATGCAATCGATCGTTATAAATTGAGTCTTAATTGAAGGGTATTATTATTTAGTTAATCAATAAAGAAAATAAAAAGTGGAAGTGTGTGATAAAGCGGAAGAGCCTAATGGTGCTAATCGGGGGCTAACAAAAGGCTCACACGTCATTGCCTGATTGATGTTTACAAATTTTTATCCTGGCGGGAGTTTTTTTTTTTTTTTTTGTATTTTTAGTTTATCGCTTAACGTTTCAGCGACGGTTTACAAAATCAACGATGTCCATAAAAGATAATCAAAAATATATATAAGATATTATTTTAGGTCTGAAATTATTATTAAAATCAAAATATCACACTTCAGTGTTGAATAAACAAGAGTAATAGTGAATTCACGTATACATCAAGAAGCTTCTTTTTTTTATTTGTTTATTACAAAAATATTCCAAAACAAGAATTTGAGTCTTTCAAATATTTTTACAAACATCTGAAATATTGAGTCCATGGTGGGACGGAACGCTTGATTCCCTAGAAATGGGTACTTACTGAGATATTCTCTTAAAATAGTTTTAATGGAGTTCAATCATAAATGCTTTTGTGTCTTATATATGTTAAAGATGTTCCTTGTGCTGTATCTTAGATACATTGAAATCGTCCCTCAATGGCCGAAGTCTGACTGTAAATGTTGGTCATGATTACTCGAATACAATACCTTTAACAGTACCTCATTTGACATTATAAACATTTGATTGTTCTTACGTTTTATTATTTTAATCATTAAAAATATCCTACGATCGGGGCATTATTTTGTCAGTATTACTTTTATCATCTTTCCGGTCAGCGTTTAAAAATAGGTCCTAGCAAAGCAATTTGTACAAATATTTTGGTCTATTATGTTTAATAGAATATTACAATCGACTAAGAAAAATATTAATTCCTTCCTTACGCAATACATAGGAACTACTTAGTTCCATATTGTTTTGCTATTTCTTCACTAAACAAAATTGTCTGCGAATTTTTCGCACGGCCCAACTTGTTGTAAAGTATTTAAAATACAAGATATAAGATTATAATTGAGTAGCAAAAGGTTTTTAAAATATATAATTTTGTGCCATATAAATTTAAACAACTTTTAAACAGATTTATTAAAATTGCATTATTAAAACACTTGAAAACAGACTTAATATATTTCTAAGCCCAAATAAGTTGTTTATAAAAAACATTTTAAAGTCATCATAGAACTTTCGTAGTTTGTTCAATATAGGGAGTTTTGTAACTCGCCCAACTGAACATCGTTCGGATAAATATGTTCGCTTGATGGTGTGTTTTATTTACAATATAATATATAAAATGTGATATATTCTGAACCAATTTCAGCTCTAAATTTCTAGTTTTGTTGCTGTTTTGGTTTAATAGATCGTCTGATGTTCTAAAAGAACAAGAATCTAAATTTTTCTAAACGCTCCACACTAAGAATTCCAGCTCTCTCAAAAATGACTTTCAACATGAATAATTTAAAAGTGGTTATAAGGGAGAGAGGATATGCAAGAGCTGGCTAGCGGCAAAGTTATGTACAGTGGGATAATGATCCCAAGGAAGGGGGAGGTCTCCTGTCGGTAGAGAATAATTGGACCTGGAAGTTGGAAAAAAAAAAACAGGGAACGAAAGTAAATGAAAACGCCCCTTAGAATGGCCTTGTTTCAGGAAATCATCATTTGAGTTGAAATTCTCATCGAATATTAGAGAAAATATTACAATTTAAAATAATGATATATCTCATTTTTTTAAAAAATACGAATAATAATTATATGATAGCTGGTTAGATAGCTTGCTGTAATAGAAAACAGGATACAGTAGAATGTCAATTATTCGAACTAATTAATTCCAGCCTAGTTCGGACACTGAAATAGGATAATTAAAAGATTTGTACAATGACTAAAATTTTAATATGGAACAAATATAAACTCAGGTTATATACAATCAGACCAGGGCAAAGAGTATTTTAATTATTATTTAAAAATACAGTGTATTTTAATTACAAATTATTGAAATTGTTTTCAGAATAGGTGTATATCATGTACAAAATACCAAAAGTATTTTGTGTTTTAAAAGATATTCAGGTCCTTGTATTTGTTATACTGCTCCCATTTTTTTTTCTAAGCCGCCAAATTCCATCTTGACAAATTGGTACCCGAATGTTCCAGGTCACTGGTATAATTATTCATATTCCAGGTTTCGCTGACGTAGGTTACCATCAGTCTTATTAGTGTTTTGTACATATTGAATTTATTGGTATTACTGGCCAGCCTACTCCTCAATGTCTTGGACATGCCAAAATGTGGTCTGTTCGCCAGCATAATAATTTTTTTCACTTCTTCTTATTTATCCAGTTGTATCAGAGAATACACACATACACACACAAATATATATATATATATATATATATATATATATATATATATATATATATATATATATATATATTGGGTGTGTGAATAAGTTTCCGCCGTTTTATCTACAGAATGTTTTTTTATCTACATGCATCCTCTGTACTTGGGCTATCAATCTGCTTTAGAGCCTCAAAGTGTATACAACATTGTTCAAATCTCTTCAAACATGAAAGTTTCGAACCCTCAAAACCTTTTTTGCGAGGAATTTTATTTTTTCCATCATTTTTTCCAAATAAAAACTTGACTAAACGGCATAGAATTCCAGTAGAAACTTACGGCAATCATGCTCTATCACATACATAAGATACAGAGAATGGTTTCAACACCTTTAAAACAATGATTTTAATCTCCAGTAGTATGATAAAGTAATTTTAATCTATGATAGAGATCGGCCTCATGTATTAAAACACTAGACTACCACTTGTTGCGATCGCTGACTCACGGCCTGGCTTAGCAGCTTTTGTCGAAACTAAAAAATGGATCGATCGATGACTGAATTGTTCCAAAAGACATATCTGTTTATATATATATATATATATATATATATATATATATATATATATATATATATATATAGAGAGAGAGAGAGAGAGAGAGAGAGAGAGAGCAGGGGCATTATATATATATATATATATATATATATATATATATATATATAATATATATATATATATATATATATATATATATATATATATATATATATATATATAATGCCCCTGCTCATGGTTTCGTTTTATCTAGGAAAAAATATTTGAACTGCAAACATTAAACTTTTGCCTAATCCTAGGTATAGCTATATTGTACCATCAGTTTGAGATTGTTGTTTAGCCACTGTTTAGAACAATGGCTCATTTTTTAAAAGGTCGGGATCTTTGATAATTACGAGGACATAAAAATTGGGTGTGAAGAGATCATTGCCTCAAAACCAAAGTAGTTGAACTGGCATCAAATCCAATTACTTGCAGAAAGCTGGGTAATACTAATTAAAAACAATTGACATTACTTACAGGAGTAGTATTCAACAATGCTCCAAATATATAATATGAAATAAAGCTACACTTATAAAGAAGGACTTTAGTAACATGGAGTATTTATTTTATAATTATTCCATCTGTATTGCTTCCGTTATTATTTTTTTTTACATAATTAAATTTCATTATTATTCGTAATTATCTTAGTATTATTCCATGGTAAACCGATTTTACCTTAAAACTTCAATAACGTTTCTGAAATGTGACATAGAATAAAAGATATACTTTTTTTTCATAACTAATTAATAATTTTCAAAATCAAATAAAACGTAACGTAAATTAACTACAGAATATTTAAGTAAATATTTTATTAATATAACATTCATAAAGGCAATAATATTCCTTCATTATAAATAGAAGGGACAAGGGAGCAACTAGTTATTGCCTAGGCTAAAGTCAATAGCCTACATCAACTGAGTAGACAGATGCGATTAAATTGCATTCAAACATTAGCTGTCTTGGCGAGGCAACATATGCCAGCCCCAGGCTAAGCGGGTACTGGATACAGGAAACATTGATGAATATGGAAACAGGAAGATCAACTTTGTTGAAGAATATTTGATGAATTTATAACTTTACTGCAATCATTCATCCCCCTCATCCGGTACAATCCGGTACAAAACGAAATTTATTGTTTAAATGTTGGGGTCCTGCAATATTTTGCAAAAAAATAAATTAAGAATATAAAAGAAAAATCCAATGTATTTTTAAAGCTATAAATAGATTAACTAAAAGCTATTGTTACAAATAATTTTCTTGATGTTTCCTTTGAAATCAGAAAAGCTTTTGATAAGGTATAGAATGAAAGATTCGTTTCCAACCTCAATATATTTTTATTTTTAACCTCAGACCAACTTTTAGTTTATTATTTTCTATAATAAGATAAAGTGAGGCCCAGTCTTACGAAACGTAGGTACATACAAAAAATGGCATATTTTAAAAATTTTATTAAGATGAATCTATATCAAAAATCTGGTTTGATTTTATAGTGTTGGTTCGTTTTCTTGGGACGCCTTCAGTATGGGTCCGCTTGAGGTTCACATCAAAGAACTTATCACCAACCATTGGGTAATCTTGATGCACTTTATGTTCGTCCATGCCGTGGTCTTTTGGTGTTTTCATGTCAGGAATAGGTGTAGGAACATTAGTATCCACGTGTTCTTTCCTTTCAATAGGTTCTTTTGTATAATGTTCAGGTTTATTTTTTTCGGATATTACCGGATCCGAATTGGACTCTGTATTTTTGAAATAGTTTTTGGTAAGCGCATTTATGGCCCACTGAGCCCAGGACGGAGGGTTATCACAAGTCTCGCTCGCCACGTCCCGCTCTACTTCCGCCAGCCTCTGAGGGAAATAGGAAACTTCCTCCAACTTGAGAAGGAGTATCTTCAAGGTCTTAAAAGCGCTCCGCCTAACGATTGGTTCTTTGTCGATCGTTAGAGAGACTAGCCGGGGAAGTATACTTTTCGCGGTCACTTCCACCGAAAAGAATCGATGAGTAACGCTGAAAGCATGGATAGCAGCTTTCCTCACATGGTCGTCCGGGTCATTTAACGCCAGCAGGAAAGAATAAAGAAGAACTTTCTGACGTACGCGAGACTCCAGGCAGTAGGCGATGTTGGCTAGGCAAATTGTCGCGTTCGTCCTGATGTAGGAGCTCTCATCGTTCTTCTGGATGTGGACCAGATGCCGGATCATTTCTCGATTGACGGACTTGCACAGCTTTGGAGCAACGTGCATCATAGCCTTCACGGTCTCATCTCTTATCTGGGGACTGGTATCCAAGAAGCCTGCAGATATGATTGGATAAAGGTTGTTGATACTTTTGTTATCGATTTTATTGGCAATCTCGTCAATGTTCACCAGGAGATTGAATCGAGTGGCTCTGTCTTTAGTGGAAAATAGAAAAGCAACAAAAGGTTCCAAGTGAGAGCGGAATTCATCTTCGTTTAGTACCGAAGCAATTTTGGATATTACTGGGACGAGATATGATCCGTTCTCTTCTTCGTACTCATAAGCCTGCCTGATTTGTCTCAGTATTCGGAAAATAATTATATCTTTTGGGGTCTTCGATACTATCTTGAGGATTTCTTTCGAAAGTTTACTTTTGCAATCTCTGTCTTGGAGATGGTAGCTGTTCAGTCCTTCCAAGGTTTTTGTTAACATGTTATCATCGTGACAGACATCTATTAAGTCCCTGATAGCTCCTTGGTAACCTCGATAAGGACTTATCAGTTTTTGTAAGACAGGGAGGAGCTCGTTAGGAACGTTAGCAATATCTATGAGGCTTTCAGAACTTTCTATTTCTCCGTTGAACGTTTCCCATAGTAGGACTCCGACACCCCAATCGTCCGACAGCGAATCATTTTCAGGTGGGCGGTACTTATCCAATATTCTAATGTGCTTTGGAGGATATTCGGACCTGAAATCCGTGACGTAGCCCAGGTCACCGAGTTGCCAGATCCCTTGATCGTTGACGAACACTGCCCCGTGGAAGATGTTGTTATGGCGAAGCTCGACGCTGTTAAGAAAGGCGACGGCTTCGCCAATAGAGGCCAGCCCCCACTTGAGGTACATCTCTCCCAAGTCCTCGCTACCCAACTTGTGCAAATACGCGAACAGTGGGAGGCAGCGAACGGTTACTAAATAAATGTTGTTCTCATCTTCATAGCTGTCAACGTAAGTCAATATTGAAGGATGTTTGAACTTTTTTAATTTCTTAACTGCTATTATGGCATGGTTCAATAGTTCCTCTGGATTATCTGGCTTTTTATTGTGAATGAAAATGCTTACCTTTTCGCCTGTCGACTTCTTTACACCATTACTTACCGAGAATATGGAATAACCTCTGAAGGAAACAATTTCTTCTTCGACAGTGTAAGGAAACGAATCGCGAATGCTAAAAAAGTTTAGCATATCTACAATGCAGTCAAGTTTCCTCCAAATATTTATGGGTTAAAACAATGATGTATACTAACATAAACTTAACGTAAAAACAAAAAATTATATAATCGAAGAATGATAAGCTACACATGATGGTTCTACAGCTGTTTTAGTATAACGAAGTCAAATCATTGAAATTTTGAACTGAAATTTATTATTATATGTATAATAACGAGATACTTTGCAGGTAGTCATTAAATGTTTTACTGTGCGAGCTGATGAGTAAATATTTTACTTACTAATATCAATTTAAGACTTTATATTTAATTTAGAAATATCAATTTCTGCGAGAATAAAACATAGACAAAAATATACATTTAACTCGATGAGTACTCAGTCAAAATTTATAATACAACGCATTATATATTATTGATTACTAGCATTATTTTACGTCAAATTATTTTCTAATGAAAATTCTACTATTTTTTTTTCTGTTGGCATTACAGACCATGTATACCGGTTGCCGCCTCAACAAACCTGCTCCATCTCTGCCTGTTTTGGTTTTTTTTTTTTATCTACACGCAGATATGTAGCATATTTGTTGATTCTATCTATCCATCTGTTTTTTGGCCTTTCACGTGGTCTTTTGCATTCTATGGAGGCATTCATTGTTACGTGGAGGCTTCCAGATAGATTGCTACGAGCTACATACCTCGCCCATCTGAACCTCTGTGCCTTCATATCATAAGATATCGATTGACCAGTTTCTGTAAGCAGTTCTTTATTGGTTTTTCTTCTCCATGTGTTAGTACTCCATGTGTTAGTAGTAATCCCAGATTGCTCCGGTTATCGTGCGGAGGATTTTCCACTCAGATATTTCTTGTATTAGGACTCTACATTTGGTGTCATTGATGTCCGGGAATTCTATATGTATAATACCCTCATTAAATGTTTTATTTTATGGGTTTCTAGAAATAAGAGCGTCTTAATAATTAATTTATTATTAGTCATAGAAAAAAAAAGGTTTGTGATAATCTTTTCTAATTGTTTCTTCTGAAAAAAGAGGTACTTTAATTTCACATCAAGTAACTTTTTTTTCGTAACTGTCAGGTAATTCCGTTAGAGAGCTCAACTTAATTATCGTTGACTTACAGCTTATTAAGCAAGCAAGGTATTCAAGAAGTAGAGAATCATTACTAAAGGCAGTTAAAAAAAAAGAGAGAATAATTCATGATTGAAAAAAAAAAAATGCGCAACATATCTTTTTAAAAGTATCCAAGCAATATATCTAGTTTACAATGATGTAGATAAATCTCGACCTTCCCACTCTTGTTCTATTTATTAAATTTATCACAAGAGTTACAAGATTTTCAATGTTAACATCGATGTTCAGGGCACTTCTAATAGATATTCTTTTATTTTAGTTTTCAGGAACTATCCTTGATATATATATATATTTTTATTATTTTATTTTTTTTTATAGTTAACGTTGTGGATGGTGAAATTCTCCACATGAGCCGAGTAAGCAGGCTTCACATGGGTACCTATCTCTGCATAGCATCCAACGGAGTCCCTCCTTCAATAAGTAGGAGGGTATCACTCAAGGTTCAATGTAAGTCATTGTATTTATTATAAAGAATTGGATTCAGTAAGTTAAGGATTAATTAATGATATTGATTATCCACAATCTGGTTGTTAAATAAATTAGCTCCCGGCATAGAAACCTTTTTATGAAATTGCTAACATCCGTTAAAAACTTCTTGAATGGCTTTTCTTATTCTAAAAATTCTATATCAATGAAAATTCTCAGAAATGAAGTGTTTTCTGATTAAATTACTTAATTTGACGACGTATTAAAAACTTGAGAATATAAGTTGAATTGTAAGATAATATGAACACACACAAAAAAAAAAAGGCCTACAAAAATATTGGCCCATTTGTTCTATATGGTCTTGTTATTTTGACATTTTGGAGGCGGAGTTCACCCCCTCCCTCCCACCGTATCTAAAAATTTTCGTAAATAAAAATGTTGTAGATTTCGATAAGATGTAGCCATTCACGAAGTTTTAAACGGATGTAAATAATTCGATAAAAAAGCTCTGTAACGAGGACTAAATATTTATACCAAAATTTATAAAATTAAATGAAGGTTAAATATTTGGATAGAATTAACAAACCAGAAATTTTTATTTTTATTTATTTGTTAAAAATTATATCTGTATCAAATAAATACAACCAGTAAATATGCACAAATCAGAAATAACGGCATAAATAGCCAAGATATAACTATTGGTAGCTCTACTAAAATAGCTCAACGTAAGAAGATAACGAGACCATATTATTTTCAGACGAGGATTATCAGGAATCGAGGAAGAAGTGGATTCGGATGGGACTGGAGTAACTAAGAAAATAAATTTCTTTCTTTCATTGACCTATTTTTGGACTTGAATAAACGACCATCCTACATTGAATTATTTTTTTCTGACGAATTTTAAATTGTTCGTATGTAATAATATTAAACATGACTATCTCAAAATGTTATATAAATTATGATTTAAGCATAAAGCCTTCAGTCACCAGCATACAGGCGAATAGCTAACATTTCGCCAATTCAGGCTCCGTCAGGACAGAAATAATATATCCAGCAAATAAAATGCATTCAAAAGTAACATTACACTAAGCAACCCAAATACATACAGAAGGAAATGAAATATTGCATAAGCGCAATAGAGGAAGGTTATATTAAACAGCTGATTAGAAGGAGTGAGTTAAAAAAGATTACTCGTACCAAAAAAGTAGAATAGTCTAACCTTTCTCTACTGGCTTTATGCAATCTTCCGTTTCCTTGACTATGTATTTTGGTGAGATGTCACTTGTGAATGTATGTTTTTCCCTTCTGCATTATAGTATACATAATTAAATGAGTTTAAATAGAATATACTATATATACTATAGCTATATATACTATAGCAGTAAACAGTACATATATAGTGCTAATATTATTTTAATGTGGTACTCTATAATAAATAAAATATATAAAGGGTTATATGCAACACTACGTTATAATAGATATGATTATATATTTAGTAATCATATATATACATATATATATTTATTACATTAGAGAAAGATATTGTCTCGTCTTGATGTGACAGAATAGTAATATATATTCTAAATAAACAAATATAAAAATAAAAAAAATATTAGCACTATAATGTACTGTTTACTGCTTATTTTAGTTCCTCCAATGCTGTCCATCCCGAACCAGCTGGAGGGTGCCTATATCGGCCAGGATGTCACCCTGGGCTGCCAAACGGAAGCCTTTCCGTCGTCCATCAACTACTGGACAACCGACAATGGCGACATGATCGTCTCTGGTAAGTCCTTTAAGAAATCAAAGCAATAGTTAAATATATTGATAACTTAATATTGTTGCTAACTGTTGGACATCCGTTACCTTCAGGTGAGAAGTACGAGACCAGTTCTTCCGATGACGGATACAGCAGGTTTATGACGCTGAAAATAAGAAACGTCACTTCCAGAGACTTCGGTTCTTATCAGTGCGTCGCTAAGAACTCTTTGGGTGAAACCGACGGAGTGATTAAACTGGAAGGTAAATAAGTATACAATATGCTATTAATTATCTTTAATTTCAATGCCTATTTTTTGTTATTTATAACTTTGATATATTATATTATAAATAAACTTATGAAACTATGTCTTTAGTAGAAGTAATTTATGATGAATGAAAATTAAATACCTCACTAAACGGTTGTTATTAATTCTGGAACAGCTTTTTTTGTCTTCATTTTTTTTTCGAAACGGCGTACCTTTGTTAATCCTTTTGATGATTGTCTTCTCCTTTCAAACCAACAAAGACATTCTATAGAGAAGTGAAGAAGAAAGTTATAAACGCATAAATCAAGGGTAAAATTTATGACTGATCGTACTCATGAAAATTTGAGAGATTTTCGAATTCTCCACAAAATGAAAAAAAAAGAAGATAGATATCAGGCGTGTATTTCAAGAGACTTTAAAAAATTTATACGACCCGAGAAAAAAATAGGAACTATTTCAAGAGTGTCCACTCGTACGTTTTTCTTAAATATTTTGATCAAAATTTTGATATTTTTTTCAGCACTATCTTCATATATTACTGTTTAAAGTGTTTTTTTTTTTCGATAAAACATATTTTCGTTAGTCGTAAACGTCTTTATCAATTCCATCATTTAATCATCCAGAAAATAAGCACATCACATAGAAATGCTAAGAAATTGTTTTTCAAGAAAAATTAAAGTTATTTGTGCGTAAATCCAAAAGTAAAGAATTTAGGACTATGCACATGACAATTTGAAAGGTTTTCTAATTTCTCACAAACATTATATTTTTATTTCTTTCGTTTATATATTTAGAAAGTGAAGCCCGAAATGGCTTCTAATGTTTAAGTATATCCCCAAGAAAATTAAAGCAATATATCAGGTAAATCTGCTTACATAGTTCTTAACACTTTAGGATAAATTCTAAGTTCTCGGTATGTTTTGCTATATCAACTCTAATATTTGTCCGATAATATTTTTTTCTTTATTTTCATCAATATTCTTTAGCAGAGCTCTGTGAACTCTGAGAAAAAAATTAATTATAATTATATTTAAGAACTGCAATATTCCAGTAGATGTGTAGTTTTTGATTTTTTTAAACCATCTACAAAGGAATCCAGCTCAGCATGTTCAATAATATTTTTCAAAGATATTTTTTTTCTTTAATCGGTACGCCATATTTTCGATTATTTTTCATCTTTCTCAATGATTGAACTATAATTTTGAATGATCTTCTCCTTGAGTGCCGGAGAAAAATAAGCGCATCACAGAAGAAAAAAGTTATGAAACAAAGAATGATATATGCATATGACTCAAAAATTACTAATTATAGTTCATTAAACCCAAGACAATTTTAAAGAGTTCTAAATTCATTATAAAATTTAAAAAAATAATATCGAAATCAGTTCATTAATAGCAAAAATACATACATCCTATTTTAATTTTTACACAGTTTTGATTAATTGTTTTAAATAATTATAATGATTGACCAAAAAAAAAAATTAATTTATCACTAGCAATTTATAATAACGAAATACAAGAAAACACATTGCAAACGGTTTATTGAGCTAGTCGTCCTGGATTTTTGGTTATTGATGGAAAGTCCTTTAAGGTTGGACTTATCTTAAAGGCACTTCGTTGTGGAATAAATGGCGTAGAAACATCGCAGAAACTGCTTTTGAATACCAATATAAATGTCTAAAGCTGAATTCTATTCACCCTCATCACACAAAAGCAGAATTATTCTTTAGACAAACTGTATATATCTGAATTTTATTAATTTGGGATCTGAATTTAACTAATTGTCGAAGTTCATTACATCTTTTTTTATATTTTTTTTATTCGTGGTTTTATTAAGACGTCTGTCCAACTGATGATGACTCACATGCCGACGGTATATGGACACTAAAATCGATTTAACGATAAGTTAAACCCCATCTGGAACCAATCAATAAACGAAATGAGCATAGCTCTTATGCCGGATAATATCAGATGTAGACTGAAAAGGATCTGGATAAGGGATCTATAAAAATAATCACGTAAGTAATTTATAGCTATGGAAAGGGGACCGCAGGTGTTCTTCAGGACCAGGAAAACCTGATTTTCCTCATATCTGTCAAATTTCGTTCTCTATTTTTCCAATTATTATGTCAGAACATTTGGTACTACCAATTAGTTTAATTGACAGGTGTTGATTAAGAAAACATAATAAAAAAATATTGTAAATATTTTGTTGTATGTTTATTTGACTTAACGTCTTGTTATGTTTTTTTCGTCTGATCCTTAACTCTCCCTAATGGGAAGTTCGAGATTCAAACTGCTTGGCTCGAGAATGTTATAGCAGGCAACGCTCTAACACGCTCGACCATCGCGGCCTTAATTCATACCTGAGTTTTGAAGTCTCATATATATTTTTTTACTTATTTAAGTAAAAAAAATAAATTTCAACAACTAAAGACAAACTTAGGCAATAACATTAGCAATAAGACATATATATTCCTGAATTAAAAGCAATCCATTATTGTGCTCGCTCAAGAACTATTTGTTTGCTGCAAAAAATCCTTGGTTTGTTGTTCTCTCATTCACTAATAATTTATATAATGTAATTATCTATTACTGAGAGTATAGAAACCATACCTAAATATACATTTAGTATTTATTATATATATCAAAAAGGTTCTTTCAATACTTTTCGAACCGCCTAAGTTATTCTACTTCATTTACCTGTTTCCTTAGATTTTTAATATTCCATAGATCATAAGTATCCCATGTCAATAATAGTACCTAAGAGGCATGTGACAAGAATTACGATTCATCTTGAAAATGGGGCATTTTGAGGCTTTAAAACGCGGGAACCGATAGTTTCTTCGGAACTATTTCGAGCTTCATGACCATGTCGAAATCATTAATTTATTCCGTCATGATTCTTTGATTTTTGAACCGTTATCGTACGCCCGCTGTACGATCACGAGCAGACAAATATTCAAGTGCTCAGATAAATAAAACTTTGCGACGATATTTCGTTTAATCGGGCTATATTAGCCCGATAGAATACTCTCATAATTCATTATGATAATACTAGTGACTTCGACTATATTATCTATTATGAAATAATATTTATTACTAATTAGATAGTTTTTTAAAAATCTAAAAAGTCAGTTATAAAATAATTATTTGTTTTTAATCGAAAACAAAAGTTACTTTTTATATATAAATAATTTAGGTTTATCTTTTATTTTTATTTATAGCTTCCAGAAAGGTTTTACTTTCCTTTACCTATATATGAAATACAAAGTATGGGAAAGTATTGCGATCGAGCAAATTTTTGTAATTTTTATTATAGATCTTTTTTTTTTTCTTCTGCAGTAACCCTAATTAAGCAAAATGTCAAAAATGAGACCAATCGCTAACTACAAAACATATTTTGAAAGAGTGCCCTTTTTACACCGCAAGGTTAAAAGATCTCGGAATACCCCAGAATATATCAAAATATACCGTGGGAAATCAAGAAAATATGCTTAGCAAAGTTATAAAGTTCCTAGACAATGAAAAAATTATAAAATATATCTGAAAAGTTTACAACTAATGATTCTTTGCAGATTTATTTATTTATTTTTTTTTTAATTTTAAAAGTTCATTGATTTATTAATTTCAATTGATTTATTGATTTGATTGCTATTTTTTGTTAGGTTATTTATTTATCTATTATATCTTATTATCTATAAGTGCCTAATATTATCATTATTTATTTATTTTATTCTATTAATTCTTGTATTTTTTTTATTTTTATCCTTTTTTATTTTTATATTTTGTACCAACGACCTGAACAGTATAAAAGTAGTGTTATTTAGTTGATCGGTCACTGATGACCTGGATGTTTTGCGTCTAGACATCGAAACAAACAAACAAGCAAAATGTAAACTAAATTTTATTTTAGCTAAATAATTCACAAATTAATCCAAATATGAATAATAAAATAATTTATATTATTTTTATGTTTAAAAAATAATCTTTTAAAAAATATTTTAGTATTATAATTTGCGAGAAAATCTAAATAAGTTTAAAAATCTATGATTTATTGTATGCACGACAATGTTTTGTGCTCACTATGCCCATTTCCAAGACTTTTATCTTGTAAAAAATATATTACAAATTAAAATCCAATTCGATCAACAGTTATTTAATATAATCATACCATATGCCATCAACGATACATAAATGACTTTTATAATAATGTTACTAAAGGAATTTAAGGACCACGAATTGCCAATCGTCAATGAAATAATCTTTTTTTGGACACATCATTCATAGAAATCCGTCGGTCTTGAAAGTCGGAAAAAATATTAGAGTACCTTATTACATATAGTTTAAATTATTCTAGGCAATTCACTGCTGTATCAATATATTGACGTTGTTTTTTTAATTTATTTTATTTCTGACATCATTGATAGTTAATACTGTTGTTTGGTATCCCTGAAATTATTTTTTTGACTGTAACAAAAAATAAATTCGATATTCTTGATAGAATATTCGTATTTATTTACCTTTGAATGATGATGAGACAAAAAAAAAAAAAAAAAAAAAAAAAAAAATAGTAGCTTATACGTATGAAACAACATCTTTTGCCTTTGATTATATTTTTCATCTCGTATCGGGTTCGTTCGTCCATCATCGGGACGAGATACACTTTGTTGTGGTGAGAGTTGATAAATATGTAAAGGGACGGGGACTACACAGCTAGCGGGCAGACTTCCAACACTCCCCCCCCCCTCTATTTCCTTCCTTCGAAAAATTAGAATTCCCATCTTTATTTATACTAATTGTAAGAGGGGTTTTCCCCGACCTGCTGATACCGAAAAGGAAAAACGGTGGAATTTGCATGGTCGGAATCCGGTGGGATTATAAAGCGGGGAGAGGATTTAGCTTGGCTGTTAGCAAACTAATTGGAGCTCTTTCTTCGCCATTAAAACATTATCTTGCTCCTCCCCCCCCCACCGATAGCGGGTAGGCAGGGGGGGGAGAGGCAAGGGGAGAAAGGGGGTCGAGAAAAATAACCTCCTGACTTAGTAGCCCCTTATTGCTCCCGATAGGATCCTCTTTCCACGAACCCAAGCGATAACCGTATTATCGCCATTTAACGATAATCACTCAAAGTTATTTAAAAATCAAAAAGATTTCCCCCTTTTTAAATATAATATGACGTTCCTGACCAAATATACAGATGTCATAAAAAATCCGGTGCGTGCATGAAACAACTTTCAATTACCGTTATACTTTGAATAGAAATTATATTCTGGTTATGGTTTAACGGAGCTAAAGCTTAACCTTTACAGCTAAGAACTAATTAATACCATTAAAATAACCTAAAAGAAGAAAAAAGAAAAAGGGAAATGAAATGTTGTACCACTACAACCCATGAAGGGTCTTGGGTTTAAAATTTGGGGAAAGTACTGTTTTAAGGCCAACGGTTGTGCAAGGAGGGGATCGGGCCAGGATCACGTTCAAACGTCAGGCTTTCCCACTTAATTAATTATTTAATTAAGGGTATCCACTTTGTAGAGACTGGGTGTGCCCCAGGAGGGTCTCTCTACCCCAGGGTCGCCCCACGGCCAATGAACCAGAATAGATAATTTTTCTGCCATCAGCCGTGATTCGAACCTGGAACCTTTAGCATTGGAAGCTTAGCGCCCTACCACTGAGCTATCCCGCTCCTATATTAAAATAACACAAACCCTATTTATTATGTCAACCGTAATCAATATAAAGCTCGTAACTCCATCTGATTTTGTAAACTGCAATTCCAGTCTCTGAGCTATATATGCCTATAGAGACTTAAAAGTGCATATGTATATTTACTCAATAAATTATTATGGTTTGTAATATTATCAGTTATTAGTAACAACCTTATTTAGGTTATTCATATTTTCTGTGTTTTAATAATTATTGTATGTAATATATATATGATTATTTATCAAATCCCTTTTTAATCTGACAGTATTTATTATACATTTAAAACATTTTTATAAACATTTAAATAATATTATTTTTTTACTTTTCGATTCCAAAAACTATTTTCATAAATTCTATTTCTTTTTTAAAAAACAAAACATTACTCCTATAAAAACATTAGTTATAATAATTTCCTAAATTAATTATCTCTGTAGCTTATATATGAACTCACCCTATACCATGGATTAGAATTGTTCGACCTAAAAAATAACCCAGTTTACCAAATTCGAGCTCAATTGATTCAAAAGAGGGCCTTATAACAACAGACCCTCAGATTGTTTAATTGCGATACGCTACAAAGATGTCGCCATTAATAACAATCCGATCCAGGAGCAACAGTAAGACAGATCTGATTGTAGCACATTTTAATCAGGCAAATTAATTGGCCCTTGTTTGGACTCGTTGTAGGGGGGGAGACGATGGGAGGAGGAGGTACCATACGCTCTTCAACTGAGGCTGAAGTTTAATTATGGTAACGTACTTTTACAACCTCTATCCCAATGTACACACGCACACACGCGCACACACACACACACACACACACACACACACACACACACACACACACACACACACACTCCCAAACACAGATTTATATGACATATGCACATAGCAAGAGATGTATAAAGTATCATAAGTAATTTTTATTTCAATGTTATTCCTGCATAAATAATATCAAACCAGAAGAAATTATATAATTAAATTATATAAAATCATATTAATTATAAAATATAATATAATTAAATTATTATTTTATCACGATGAAAAATAAAGAAAAATTAAGAAAACAATTCCATCTTTGTAATGTAAAAATCGAAAAAAAAATTGATTTTTAGAATTATATGTTTTATATACATATATCGATCGTTTAAATATTTTCAAATATGTTGAAAAAATATTTCGAAATTTCGATACTTAGGACATCGATATTTTTAATATTTTTTAAAAGAATAAAGAAGTAAATTTCGAATAATAATGTTTATGATACATATAGTGTTGATACTTATTGAATATCCTGAAATAACAATAAAAATATTTGCAAAAATACCAAAATAAAAATTTCTTTATCAACAATAAAAATCGTTTAGTATGTTATATCATGCATACCTCTAACATTTCATCTATTTTGGCCATTGTCAAACATTTCCTAATAAAAGTGCATTACCTACCTGTACAATATTTTTATTTTTTTTTTTTTTTTGCCAAATTTTTAAAATATTTTTTTTTTTTTCCTGTAGACAAATATATTTCATCAATTTTTTTTGTAGTATCTTCTTCTGAGATGAATGGATATGCACTATTTTCAAAATCTTAACTTACCATATTTTTTAATACATTTGGCATACGATAAAAAAAAATTGTTGTTAATTTTTTCCTCCAATTGTTCTAATTTTTTCCCACAGTTGTTCTGTGGACTGCCAGACAAAAACTGAATTTGTTTTTTAGATTTTTCACTACTCCTTTCAAGTTCCTTCTCACACCTTCTCAAAATGCGTATGCAAACAAATTTATTCACTATACCATGTGAGTTTTTCCACTATTAAGTAATGATTTCCCGCACCAGAATCCGCCGTACATCCCCACACCAAAAAACATAACATACGAACAAGAGAAAGAACATGAGAAAATGCAATATTACTAGATGTTTATTGATTACAATAAATTATTGTTTTCAATGTAATATAAATTGAACTACGTATTCAATAATTCTATCAATATCTAGCAGGTGTATAATTTTGACTGTGAGACACGGTACCTATAGTATAATCTATATATATATATATAAGATGCAATTTGTACAGACTTAAAAAATAAAAGTGCAACTTATAATTCCTCACTTTCTGCAAATCGTTAAATTACGAATAAACATATTCCACTGATTTTGCTTACTATACGCCGAAAGCATTAGAGAAAACGATGGCTTTCTAATTTGCGTTTTCCCTGAAGTATAATAGGTAACTAACTATAAACGGACATAAGTAGAAAATAATTTCTACTTTTAGTAGAAGTATAAGAGAGCTCAGTGTGATAAGCTTAACCAGATTTTTGATTTGTCTGTTAAACAATGTTTGATTTTTAAATGTCTTCTAAGGTAATGTTAGTTGATTGAGATCCTATAGTTTACTTTGCACAACAGCTGTCTTTCTTTCAGCTGATACAAAAACGGCGCTGCCATTTCTTTCGCTCCTCGACTGAAGGAGGAGATGAAGGGCTGACGGACTGGGCTAAAGACCTCGAGGACGGAGCTCTTAACACGGTCAGAGGTACTTAAGGCCTCGGACTGTACTAATGGCTCGGCATGTCTCCCCGGGAGGATTTGTCCAGCACTCCAGTCTGCTCTGGAAAAACCTGGAGAAAAACCTCCGGTGGCTCTGTCACTATTAATAACGTCATCTTCTGTTAAAGCAGTCTCCATTTCTGTTTCAGAAATCCCGTCGCCGCTATCGAGGACCACAGCACCCACCTTCGTCGCCGTTGACAAAAGTAAGTCTGTTAATTATTATTTGGTAAATTAATAATGGAATAGATAAATAATTGGTTTAATGAAGGACAGTAGGAATTTTTATTTTGCTTTAATTTTTTTTCCATCATTACTTAATAGTTTGTTTAGTAAAAAATAAATATTGAAGGAAGTTAATCGACTGTTCTACATATCATTGGTGATAAATATTCAGGACGCAAATTTTTTTTTAATAAATTTTTTATTTATCCAACGTTTGAGTACTTGAACACCCTCAGTGCTCAAACCACGCCCTGAAGATGACCCACATGTTTGGGTTGAAACGTTAGCATGAATAAAAAATAATTTTTTTTTTTTAAAAGACTTAATATTTATCACCCATGAAAAAAATAAATAGTGTCCGTAATACATTTAAATACGTATAATATAATTAAAATAAATATAATTAAATACTTCAGGATGGTTGAGAAGCAGGGCTGCCTGAAAAGTCTTGTATTTCTCCACTAAACTTAGGGAAAATCTTATTTTTTCTAATAAATCCACCAAAATTAATCCTAAATAAATGTTCAATTCTTATTTTTCGATTGTTATAGCTAAAAATATCTCTGGAGAATCTGACTTGTTATAGATAACTTGAGAATGAGCCAATTGGCCAGAAACACTATTAATGACATAAATGCATACAGGAAGTCAAGGAGTAGTTCATTATTTGGGAATTCTAAACATAATTACATTAAAGTATCCTTGAAAAATATTGTGTCTGATTAGTAACTAAATCTCTATATTGTAGAAAGAAGATTTTTGGTGACTTTCATATATTATTTTATTTCAGTATTAGGAGAGTAGATGATTACATGATCTCTCCAATTAGTTCTATAATTAACAATAATTATACAGATATTGATTTAATTACATATGCGTTGAGCTCCTGTAACCTCCTACTATCCTAATACAAAATAGTGATTTAAACCCTGTTGTATTCGTTACAGTATTCTCTCCTTCCTGTAACCCCCACTTTTCCAATCTAAAGATTTCAGACCGACAATTTGTACGGATATAGTAGTACATCTGGAGGTAGTAGTTTGATTTTACCTAGGTGACAGAAGTTATTTTTCGATCTACACATTTTCCTTTTGTATACAATAGATAAATTATATATATTATTATTATTATATATAATATTATTTATACTATATTGTGATATAATTGTAATTTTTATAAAATAGAAAAGGAAGCACAACATATCGTCCAAAGAAAATATTAGAAATAAAAGGTTCAAAACGATGTTAAGCTTATATGAAGCTAAACAAGTTAAATATATATATATATATATATATATATAGTATATATATATATATATATATATATATATATATACATATATATTATGGTTACGAATTGGCAATAACAATAATTATAATTATATAATAATATAAATTGGAAATAAGTGTATAATTTAAATTTTCAAAGAAATCCGAGCTGTAGTTTCATTCAATTTATTCTATGTTGGTAAAAAACAATAAAATCTCAACCACAGAATACATGTGAATTACAGTTATACAATTTGAGCAACGAGTAGTACAATTAAATGAACAGTTGTATAATTTGTAAAATGGAGGCTGGTCCGCCGAGGTGAACAGGGTTACCTAAATAAAGTTTCCTCTTGTATATATTAATAAAATATTTTGTGAAAATATAATGGTATTTTTGAAACATTAATCTAAATTTGGTTAATGTTAAAAACAACATTTTTTTCTAGTCTTCTATTCGTAAAATCATAACAAGTAAAAATAATAATGTATCGAAAATAGATACTTCATCTGAGAATAGTGAAATTAAAAAAAAAAATCTCTGTGAATGATGTAAAAACAAAATAAAAGGTATACGGCGAGAGACGAAGTATATTTCCAGTTTATCCGTACCACAGAACCAAACGATTATCAATTATTACAATATAAATTAAAGATATCTTAAATATTAATTAAATTAATTAAGATTGGAAGGATATTATTTGTAATACCCTACAGTGAAGGGCTCAATGAACCTACACATGATCGAAGGCATCAAAATCAAGACCCGGTAGCAACAGCACTCCAGTCAATGCTCTCCTTAATTAACTAGCTCACTTCTATACCCCAATCTCCATACGCCCCTCCTATTACTGATGTATAGGTTAAATAATTTTATTCATTTATATATATATATATATATATATATATATATATATATATATATAATAATGTTTTGTGATTAGTATAAATTGAGTTAAAGTACAGTATAATAAGTTTAACAGTTATCGATTTAAAAAAAATATATTACCAGGCAGAACGAAATAAAAGGACGACTTAAAAGACGTGAAAAAATCAAGATGAAACCGATGTACGGAAGAGCATACCAGACAATCCCTTGTAACATCCCTTGTTTCCCCCACTTCGATGACGGTTGATTGGTGGATATAGGGTTGTCCTTAAGATTGAAGAGATAAATTGTTTTATAAGATTTATCTTTGGGATCCCTAGGCGTTCTCATGTTTCCTGCCTATACACAGAGTTGAAATGACTCTATCCGACTTCCCTTCGGCAATTCCTTTATGGTATTTTCCTTTTCCAAGTCCTCAGAACTAAATAATCCTCACTACATCCTAGAACTCCTTACTCTGCATTCCTCTATCCACTCTCTAAATACCAGATCTCAACCTGCAGATCTATATATTCCCTCCCATAAAGCCACTTTCTTTATAAAATCTTAGTCATTCGTGCTACCTCTTTTTGGAACACCTATCTCCATAAGTCAAACCACGTCCACAAATTCCTTCAAACAACTCCTATTCCTCCATCTACTATACATTCAAACTTCCGCAAATTTTTAAGTTATGTAATTACAATTACTCGCCAACAGTTCATTGATAAGAGCCAATTTCTTTTTCTTTTAGTATTTTTTGTGTATATTTGCATTTTTCTAATGATTCGTTGCATATATGTATGAGCTCTGCTGTTATTTTAAGAGGAATTTAGTCCTAAAATAATTTTTTTTTATTTTATTTCATTAGGCTTTACTAAGTTGAAAGGTGGAAACAGAAAGACAACATTAACCATAATCAGACATTGTTTCAACTCCGAAATAGATTAATGTAGTAAAAGTTACATCCTTTGTTTTTTCATTCGAATGTTCCAAATATTTCTTTAAAATCCTTTCCGGAAATTCCATGGATGTAGGGCAAGGATTTTTAACCCATTTTTAAAATATCTGGTCGGAGACTTCTCTAATGAAAACACTTTAAAAAATTAGTTCTATGAACTTTTACATGATACATCTGCTGTTTGCAGAATATATATATTGTTTTGGGATAAGGTGCAATTAATATATATTTTCCGAATGGTATAAATCAGCGATATGAATCTCGAATATTTACCAAAAGATATAAGAGCCAACTTCAAACGTTGGAGAAACGGTACTTAATGTATCACGAAAAAAGTGGAGACCCTGTTTGAAATAACACAATGAAGTCAAACCTGTGATTGAAGATATCGAGAAATATTTGCGAGATGATTCTGTTATTAGAATGGCTGAGGAGGTGGGCAGGTATAGTAAGAGCAGAGACCATGGAAAGACCAAGGAAGGCCTTTGACAGAAGAGGGTTTGAATCTGGAAAAGGAGGAGGAGTTGTTAGCTGGTTAGCTGACCTACTTTCCCATTCATAAGAACCTAATCATCAGCATGGCAACGCTACGATTAAAATAAGCTTGTGTGGCTGCACAACGGGGTATTTTAGGGCTTTAAAACGCCATATGTTGTACCGGGTCTTGATATCCGCGTCAAAATCAGAAGAAAACCCAAATTGTTCTGTCTTCATCCACTGTTCCAGTTCAGGGGCTAATGAAATGTCTAGATCGAGTTTATTTATTATTTTTGTCTATAAAAATGTATTTGCGCCTGTAAACTTATTGTTGACAATCAGCAAATGCGATATAGGGAATAATAACATTTATTTATTTTTGAAAGAAAAACAAAATCTGAGATTCGTGAAATTGTGAATCTCACAATATCCCCATTCATAGAATTTGAGCGTGACAGGAGCTATTATTTTGAGACTTAATGAAATAATACAAGTAGAGATGGTCGAGTGTATTCTTCCAAGGAATAGGAAACTAATTTCTTCCTCTTATAATACTTTTCATTTACATATTTAAATATTACAAAGGAGAGAAACATTTGTATCATTATGAGGCCGGCCGCAACACTTTTTTTTATTTTATTGTTCTTATTTTTTTTTGTCCCTAAATACACACTCATATATTCAAATTAATTCAATTAAGTTTCAAAATTTCATAAACTAAATAATTATAGTACTAGATTAATAAATATTGCGCAAAAACAATTGGATACCGCGTGCGGCCTCAGTTCTCTATCTGGACCATATTATATTGCCATTTGCTCATTGACCAGTCTGCAATGTGGGTTATAAGCACGAGCCGTTTAGTTACAATATATTCCAACAAAATTATCCGTATATGATGTTGAAGACTGAAGACTAATAGAGAATTTTATTAGAGACATGACTGTTGCCGCAGTCCCAGCTGGGCCTTACTGCACAGCATTATGTCTTCCACAGCTCACCTCGTAGAATCAAGTTAAAGGATGCACTTTTACTTAGTGTAAGAGGGTTATGTAACATTTTATTTTCTGGTAAATAATAAAACTGGAATGTCACCTATTGTAGTACATTTATATATTTGTCTTTTTCAAATTCGCTCTTCCAACATCCAAATGAGTAAAATTCAATTTTATAAAAAAGGTCTATGACTTTAGGTAGGGGTAATATAAAATCTCTTAGTGTTGTTTTATCCTACAAGGGAAGGTTATGGACGTGGGGTCACAGATTTCAATAAATCATTTTTTTTTGTGATACACTAATGGTGATTGGTGATACAATTCTTAAAGACTTGTCAGTGGATTCTCTTAATTGGGTGCTAGAAGCTGAGAAAAAAAAATATAAAATCATATTTCTGGTTGTTTTATGTCAATTCGAATAAATACTAAATTATAAAAAATAAAAAGTCGCTTCCAGCAACGGGTATCGGTATTTGTATGGAAAACCAGTATGGCAAATAAATTTTGTCATTAAAAAAACAATTCAGATTCGTTTTAGGGTCTGAAAGCAAAAAAAAAAAAAAATTATAATAATAAATAAGTTTTTTGGAATTGATTTTGTAGTAGGATTATTTTTCATGGCGTTCATTAATACAAACAGCAATATTTTTTTTCTTATTTTACTCGAAAAAACTAACCACTTAATATATTGTAATCCGTGCAGAGCAATGGCCTGTTACATTCAAAGATTGCAACAGTGTATAGCGTACACTGTAGAGCGAAGTTTTTTGCTTAACAAGGCCTTGATTAAGAAAGTTAAATTTCTTATTAGATTATACTGCAATTAGATCGTTTACCTGAATTTTATTAAATAGTTTGGAGTGTACATGTTTTTTTTTTTTTTTACATTTAGTACCTTTTCTCTACTGCTGCGATTGTAATTTTTCCACTCTTTTCATGAGTACTATATGCGAGCTTCTTCAGTCTGTGTATCTATGTTGAAGAATTTATAGAATGGAAAAAATTATAGAATACTTTTTTTATATAACTCAAAAACTAAAATCCCCAGATCTTCATTTAAAAGTTAAATACATTTTCTACAAAGCTAAACTTGAAAAAAAAAAATCTTAAAAGCTCTAATGAACATCGACTTATGCAACATATTACGAGTTTTGTGTATTTCAGCCTTTACTCCGCCATAACATACAAATTTCAGTCTAATTCGATATCAGATATTTCAGTCTAATGCATATTTAAAAACTTGACTACGACTTTACGCTAAAATACCTCTATGTCACGTCGTGAAATGAAGGTTGTATACCATAAAATCGATATGAACAAAATTCAAGATGAACAAATCATACTGAGAAGGAAAAATCTTATATCTAAGCGATTTGTTGAACCTAACATACCTATTCTTGTAAATCCTTAAATGGAATGTTATATCTACCGGATTTCAAAAGTTCTTTTGGTACACATACAATTTTTTTCTCTCAGATGGTAACCCAAAGGAGGGGTTTATTTGCTAAGTTTACATCCTCTAAGCGAAATCGTATATTATATATATGAATGTTTGACTTACATTTTAGCTATGCTATTGATTTTTTTTATTTTATGAATTTAAAAAAGACATATACTAAAGCTACAATACGTAAAATAACATTTTCGTTAATATATATGAAATAGTTACAATTTAATTATTGCAGAACATTTACATTTCTATAGAATTGAAAAATATAATTTTTTTTTCTCGTTAACTATTTATCCGCACCTGTAATGGTATTGACAATCAGAAGATGTATTGTCATAATAATAATTTACATTATAGGCATGAGAAAGGATAGTATCCAGCAGCACCTCATATTTACATCCCTGATTTAGGTGAGGTGATTTCTCATCCAGCTCCTTTTTAGTCTCCTCCTGATAGACATGTCAGCCCTGGACATGTCGTTGATAAGTCTGTTTGTGTGTCCGTGTAGTTTGAGATGAAAACGAGAGTAGAGAGTACGTATGTGTAAGTATGTAGTTAGCTGTCGTAAGTCTTTATGTAAAGTTTTGTTGTTAACGTACCAGGGAGCTCCTGTTATAAGTCGTAAAATTTTATATTGGAATGACTGAAGTTTTTGTAAGTGCATCTTTTTTGCTGAACCGTAAATCTGAGAGGCATATATCCAGATAAAATAAACAATTATTTCAATAGAAGTAATGTATTTATAATTGTAAAGAAATCATTTGTAAAATAAAGAAAGAAATTAAATATAGTAAACAAGTGGATACATTTATATTTTATGAATATATTTCTTATTCCATTTCATATTTTGTTTCAAAACATTCATTACCTTACCATTTCTAAATAGTGGTAAAAATGTCACCATAAAAAATTGCTCTTAAATTTTAAAAAAAATTATGGAATACATTTTTCTTTAGTCACACTGATAACTTAATTAAAATGTCATAATTAATGAATAAATTAAAATAAGTAATAAAACATCAATTAAGAAACAATAATCAATGATCTTGCAATTTATTAAATTAATAATAAGGCCAACTCATAAACTACACAGAAATTAATAACTATACTCTAGTACGGTATAATTGTTATTTAATCACACTTTAATTATAAATTAATTAAATGCAATTAAATATAGTACTACAAATACTTAGCACAAAATATTTTGATTGAATGGAACGAACATAATAATAACCATACAAATTATAATAAACAAGTAATTATAATGCAATGTAATTGTAAATATATATAGGAGGTCAGTTCTTAATAGCCAAACTCTAGTGGGCGGAAAACGATTTTTTTTTATTCCTTAATGACATTTAAAACTGTACTAAAGAAATAGATTTAGTAAATTTGAACATATGAATATAATGAAGTGAAAACACTTGTTGAGAAACTAGCCAATGATATGTCTACATTAGGAGATCACGGGGCCATCTTCTTTTTAGACGCCTCGGAGGGTTATCAGGTATTGAAGAGGAACCAAGGTTAGAAACGAGAGGGTTCGGATGATTCTGAAGTTTATTATGGAAGGATAGATATCTGGATTGGGTCAGATCTGAAACATAAAAAACATTAAGGTCATTATGGATGGTTTTATTTGTAACAAAGTAGGGAGCATTAAGGATTTTACGAAGGATTTTGGATTGGATACGAGAGGAATTCGATGGTTTAGTGGAGCCTCAACTCCTTAAGTCCAAATAGGCCTTATTACAGTCATGTATATGAGTCTTTTGTAATTAATGAGAAGTTTAGAGTGTTTGTCTAGTAAGTGCTGAAGTAATCGAAAACTTCTAGCGGTTTCTTGTCGTTTCAGTCTGGTATCGGAAAACGAATTTACACAAATTTTAAGTCTTCCTCAAGGTGGTCCCATTTTTTTATTAAATAAGAAGAAATTACTTAAAAATTATTCAAGATAAAAACGATTACTAAGCACACCATCGTGAAGTACATGAAATTTTCTTTAAGAAAACAGTTATTAAATTTACAAAGGTCAATGATAAAAGTGACTTTTAGGAGGTCTGATACGACCACTGCATTCCTGATGTTACAGTGCCCATACAAGAACTGCTTATCTCTATTCCCAATTCGTACGCAGCAGTACAACAGTCGTATTAGACCTTCTGAAAGTTCCTTTTCTAATTGACCTTCGTTAAATTTAAGCTCTGTTGTCTGAAAGAAAATTTTATCTAGTTTACAATTATGTATTTTAAACTTGAATAATTTTTGAGAAATTTATTCTTATTCAATAAAAACGTGACCTCCTTGAGTAAGACACAAATTCGGTCTTAACTCCTTCATTTGGAATCGGCATATGACCTAATGAACTTTTCTGGAAATTATGTCTAGAATCATTCCCCAAAGTTTAGCCATTAAGAACCGAGATATCCTGTATAGACAAATAGTAGATAATAAGAAATTAATTAATTATATTTAAGAAAAAAATTAAAAGAAAAAAATGGTTGCTTCATTAGTGGTTAGTATTCGATAAAACAATAATTATGTGTATGAAGAAATTGTATTTTACGAATGCGTGATATTATATATATATTGAGTGTTCTTTTACTATTCAGTCTAATAGGTGGATGTGATGGTTACTGT